GTTTTTCTTTCTGTAGCTTTGAGGTGACAATGAACATTTAGGACTTTTCTTGTAAACCCTATAACTTTGCAAAGAAAGGTCGTGTAGAGCTGGGAGATGCCTCGTTTTAATCAGAAATTTATAGACTACAATTACGCCTCACTAAGAAAGCTTTTGGTTGTTGTTTAGAGTTTCTCGAAACCTGGTTTTCCAGAAGACCGGTCTTCGAAGGCCTAGCAGCAGCATTCATTGTGATATTCGGAATCAGCATCGTCGACTACCTATAGTCCACTCAGTTTCGTTGAAAAAGCGATTTGTCAGTTGGGGTACTTCCCTCGTGAGAATATTCTAAGTAGAGCATTGCGTCACATGAACAGGATTGAAGACCTGTTCTTCGAAAAATGAATCAGGAGGAAGTTCTTCTCCAGAAAATGACTTGAGTTATTTTTTGACGCGACTCAGACTCGGACCTCTACTCGAAGGCTACTGCCTCGGACTCAGACTCAGTCCAAAAAGTGATGACTCGTCCATCTCTGGCTTTGAGTTGATGGATATCCAGAGAAAGTCTTCTAAAATATATATATACAATAAAAATCGAGTCTAGTTCAATACACTTCATCTTTTTCTAAAAATTTTGTTTGTAAGACAGTGTTCATAAAATTTTAAAAATTGAGTCTATTCGGACTGAACTCGATCGTAGATTTCATGATCGATTTCGCTGAATATTCATCATCCACAAAAGTGTTTTGAACTGCTAGTAAATCAAGCCTGAAGTTACATGGTTTTCTTATCATTTAGAATTAGAAAACTGACTTGAACTCAAAATATCGATAGATTCTTTTTTTTTGAAAATAAAGCAACAAAAGTACAAACGTTAAATTTATATATAGATAAAAAAAAATATATTTTGCGAATTATAAACAACAAGCTTTAAGAGATAAATTAAAACAGAAAATATAAGAACGAAAATATATGCACATATGAATCATCAAACTATTTTGTGACAAATTGTTCATGATTTGAGTTAAAAACTATTTCATTGAAAATACAACGTAAAATCAAAAAATTCATTTATATTACACAGATCACTATCATCGAGGGGAGTGAATGCGAAAAAGTAAAATTGAAGAATGAAGTTAAAAATAGTGGAATGCAATTCTTCTTTTAAAAATTTTGATTCCAGTTAATCAACATCAATGGCAAATGCTTTTTTTCCAGCTGAAAACACATAGAAGTGTTTTATTGAACGACTTCTACGAACTATAAACAAGAAAGTAGCAATTAGCAAAAAACTTTGTAGTAATTAGAAGAAGAAATTTTACCGACGATCTTTTCTTCTTCGGCTGGTTTTTTAACAAGGCGATATACTTTAACACCATTGCACTCTTCACTAATAACTGATCCATAGGCATCACGTACTTCTTTTCTAGTCAATGATGGCATTTGAATTTTCATTGTTCTACGAATTATTTCATTATCCGGTAAATAACTGCCTGGCTAGAATAATAAATATACAAAATATCAGACCACCTGCTACTATATAGATGAACATAATGTAAACCTACCATTTTCATTAAAAATGTTTCTATAAAATTAGCTGGATTTGGTACATGCTCACGATCTAATGGTAAAACAAAACATTTTTCAACATCAAAATCTCGTATAGCCGTCGTATTCTAAAATTTGAAATACAGATAAACCAATCAGAGAAATATAGCAGAAAATTTTTTCCATTTACATGCTGAAAATCATGAACAACTCGTATGTGATTTGAAATACCGAGTTGGGGTACATCGATTAATTCTAAATTATTTTTAACATCAATTTTAACCTAGAAGAAGAATACAGCCAATAAAGTAATCGTCTTGAATAGACAAACTCTTATTCATTCGTAATACGAAAATAAAGTGTAACATACGTCTTGTTGAAATTCTTCTGGAATATCTTTTTTGGTCGGATTGAATTCATAGTTGTTTTCACTACCTTGTTTGACGAAATTTGATATTAAGTGATTATTTCCATCATCAAATGCTACAAGACCACCATGGTCAAAAAATATTCCACCATCATCCAATTGAGTTGATTTTAAACGATATTTACATGTACGATGCCAGGTCTAAAAAGAGAAAACAGTCCTTATAATTGATCTAAGGCATCGTATGTATCCTTATATACTTACACGTGGTGCACGATTATAAAAATCATAGAATAACCAGCTACCAATTGAGATACAAACAAGTAATAAAACAGCTGAAACACAAATTAATAAGCCTGATGGCGGTTCTCTACGTTGGCGAACGCTAGTTGTTATCAATGTTGGATCCTCTAAGCCTTCTTTTATTGCCTAGAGAAGAAAAAGAAATTATTAGGTATAATGACCTCACAAAACAAATATTTATGCAATTTTGAAGCAATAGTTAGCGATGGTAAAATTAAACACAGAATATCTCAATTCAACATCATTGAGTGCGGTTATTCGTACAATGGTCTTTTATGAACAGGAAAATTTTCTCTGACTAAACTTGAACCTGTTTTAATAATAGCGCATCTTTTTCTTTTTATCGCTCTATCTATAACTCACTTAGCGAATTGAACGACATGACCCATTTTAAGCGATTCAGACATGTAAGGTAAATGCAACTACTGCGCTTCTCAGACGAGATGCATTGTTAGATGAATTTGAGTTGAAAATTTCCAATAAAGAAACTAAGAGTTGACTTTACTCTTAATTTCTAAATTGAGATGTTTTGTGACTAACGAATTAAGGAAATTTCTATTTTCTCTAGAAATGAATTCGAGTCTAGTAGATTCAGATCATACGACTGTCTGTATGATCAAAATATTAAAATAATTTCTTTTTCGGTATTAATTGATATGAGATAAAATAAATACGTACCACAACATCAATAATTGTATCACCATCGACTAATTTTTCTTTATCATCTGTTGCAGTGTTACTTTGTTTTGCTGTAGGAGTAATAAGAATAACACCAACCATTTTTTTGTCGGGAGAAATTCCAAAAAAAATACAGTTTTAGATTTAATTTTACTCTATCTATAAATATCAAATAATTACAAAATATATTAATCTTGTACTTAAGAATAATATAATAGATATTTAATTGTCTCACTCATAAACGCATATCACGTATTGTTGCCACACACAAGAGATACAGATGTGTCTTTCTTTGTAGTGTTCTAGAAAAAGCAATAGTAATTTTGGTTAAATTAACTCGACCTTAAGCACACGTACAGAATGTTAAATCTCTGACAACAATTCTAAAATTAGAGCAAGCTACAGGAAGGAAAGAACAACATAATAAAGTTGCACGAACATAGATTTAATTCTAAAAAGGGTTCGTATTTTTTCTTTTTTTGGTCGCTTTGTTCTCGTTTTCTTTTCTTTTTTTATATAACAACTCGATTTGTCGAATTACTGCAAAACTAGTAGAAGACTAGAGAAGGTTTAAAAAAAGAATAACAAAAAGAAAGTAGCGAGAGCAAATATCTACCATTCTAGAACAGACAGAGGACAAAACGGTAGCGAAAAATTGGAAAAGGATGTATCTTCTCTTTTCTCAAAGTTTCAACACTTCAAAACAACAAGAAAAAAGAATACTGTGATTAATACTGCTATCGTAGATGTATGAAGACGAAAAATATAAACTTATCGGTTAGAGAAAAATGTCATTTCAATAAGAATAAAAAAGGATAGTTTTTTGCTGTAGAGAAAAGAGATACTACAGACGAACGAGAAATAATACATTAATAAACACAAAAACAGTATCAGGATAGAGACAAAGAGAATACAACGAGAAAAAGCAATAGAAAGGATAAAGGGAATTTATTTTCATAATAAATATCTTTTTGAACAGCCGAGTATACACGTTATGGTTCATAAATCTAGTGAATTGCTATATAATAATCCTCTAGGGAGGAAAAACAGCCGCCTGTGGCGAAACTTCTTGTATCCAAGATCGTGTATTTTTGAATCTATCACTCAAAATCTTTGGAAAAGAAATTTCAAGATCTTGAGTGAATCCACTTAAGATGTTGCAAGATCTTAAGTGAAAAATTTTCTTTACATTTTGGTTTCATTTACGACAGTCATGGCCATCAGATATACGACCATATAGAATCACAGACTCTTCTTTAAACAACTATGTTCAAGAAGGAAGAAAATTCAAAATTATTTTAAGTGTGAAAATATTCGCACTTATATTTACATACGAATGTAATGATGCAATGATGCAAATCTTGGGTACAAGATTCAATCACTCAAGACCTTAATCAAGATCTTGGTACAGGAAGTTAAGAAATTGCAAGATGTTGGAGATCTTGGCTTGAGATTTCTTGAATTCGTGCAGTTTCCTATCAAGATCTTACTGGAAGAATTCAAGAAGTCAAGATCTTACTTACAAGAAGTTTCACTAGGGTGGTTAACAAAAATTCATATTTTTCTTATAGGAAGAGGTTGTATTTCTTTTTTTGTCTCGTTTTATTAATATGTTATAAATCATAATTTTAAAAGCGAATCTTTCTCCCTTTTACCACGTCATATAGGATAAATTTTGATTCAATCCTGGTATAAGAAATCAAACGAGAACTAGAGACCAACTACCCTTCAGAAAGATTCGAAAGTCGACTGAGTGAAACAGTAAACAGACGAAATTAGAACATCCAGAAAGTCATAACTGTCTACGTATCTTCTACAGCATATTTTACACATTGATATATCAGCTAACTCATTATTTCTCTACTGTAGCTTTTAAAATATCAAGCACTGTAGCATATATTCACTGTGAAGGATATCACGTGCCAATCACCCCGGTAGGGCCAGGGCTCAAAAACTTTTCACAGGGTAGAGCAAGGGCTCCGTAAACAGTTACCTGCACATCTCTAGTATAGACTGATAAGTAGCACGTGACCACTTAATGAATTAGTCTACACTATCCATACTGAATGTATATGAAGTGTCACGTGACAATTAATTATCTCGTAGAAAAGATATAGAAAATATGCTCAACTTTTGAGACTCATTACTGAATAATTAAAATATATATCGAAAAAACAACTTTAGCTGTTTCATCTACCTCTCTTGCACTCTCGAATGATCTTTTTCCCAAATCTGTACAATTAGTGATAGCTGAGAACGAATGGCTGACTCGAAGTAGAAAGTAGGGTCTCGAAGAAAGAAGAAAGAACTAAATGCCAACTACCCTACGGATAGATTGGAAACCCGACCGAGTGAAACGTATTTCAGAAACACTTTAGACACTGCCTGAATCCCTTAATACGATTAGAACACTGCAGTGCTCTAGTAGTAAACATATGATGCATTCTATCAGTAATAATCTTTCAGACTATAATGCATCAAACTATACAGAAGTATAGACTGATAAGTAGCACGTGACCACTTAATGAATCAGTCTGCACTATTCATACTGAATGTATATGACGTGTCACGTGACAATTAATTATTTCATAGAAAAGTTATTGAAGATATGCTCACCTTTTGAGACTCATTCCTTAATAATTAAACCATGCATTGAAAAAATAACTTTAGCTGTTTCATCTACCTCTCTTGCACTCTCGAATGATCTTTTCCCCAAATCTGTACAATTAGTGATAGCTGAGAACGAATGGCTGACTCGAAGTAGAAAGTAGGGTCTCGAAGAAAGAAGAAAGCAAAGAAGAATTTTATGTAGTGAAACAGAATAAGCCTCTCCGAATTTCACTCGGTCGGCTTAAAGAATTTTGCTAGGCAACGCTCAGAGTGAAAAGCAATAAGTCTCCTGAGTTTCACTCAGTAGACTTAATTACGGGATTTTCTTAACAATAAAGAGGGAAAGAAGTTCTCCAACTAATTTTCATTTCAGAAATTATTCAGTAGACTGTAAACAGATAATTAAATTTAATTCTGTCCATCTACAGCGCGATCGCAGTTCATTCGCCATTGTCGTGTTGCGATCTTATTATAGTTACTATGCTAAAATTTTAGCTTTATTTGACGTTTCATTTCGGGAACGTTTCAAAATGTATTCCGGTCGGTCGGTCGCTATTCCTCTATCTGTTAACGTATCGAAATGCTATTCGATTTAGGTGTTCTGTAACCGAAGCGTGATTAATGTTTACCCTAGTCGAACATCTTGGAACCAAGATCTTGACATCTTAGATTTTTTCGAAAAGATCTTGGCAAGATCTTTCGTACAAGATGTCAAGATATTTTTGTTCCTAAGATCTTGCCTATGATCTTGCGTA